TACAAATTTCTACGCATGTACAGGCACTGTGGAGGCCGCTACAGATTTTTCTATTCGGGAGGCCGTTTTGCATGCGAAAAGCCGCGCCGCGCCTTACGTTCCAAAAACAGCAGTAATAGTGATAGGCACAAGCGCACCTACCCTGGGAAAGCGAGACAGACGGTCTACGGTCTGCCAGTGCGTTCGGAAAGATAAAGACGTTCCGTCCGATAACCGTCCGACGCTGGTCCTCTCCCCCTAAGGCCCAAATATGCCTGCGCAACTCTCTGAAGCAGATAGACTCGGCCTTGAGACGGCGTACCTGGAGGCGAAGAGGGGCTATGAGGAGGGAGGGATCCCAATTGGTTCTTGTCTCGTGCACCACGGAGAGAGTGGGAAGCCGAAGGTGCTAGGGAAGGGTTGTAATATGCGGGTGCAGAAAGAGTCGGCGACACTGCATGGCGAGATCTCAGCACTGGAGAATACCGGGAGGTTGAAGGCGGGTGTATATCGCGGGTCGACTATTGTGAGTATCTCCATTCGGCAGGGAACGATTATTGATGTCCTGTGTGTAGTATACGACGCTGAGGTGTGTTTCTTGAATCATTTTATTCGGGTGAAAAGAAGATTTTATGAGATGTTACGCGCATGCAGCCCGTGTATCATGTGCACGGGTGCCATCCTGCTGTATAGATTCCCTCGTGTCGTGATTGGAGAGAATAGGAACTACGTCGGCGGGGAGGAACTGCTGAAGAAGAACGGAGTGGAGGTAGTGGTTGTGGACGATGAGCGGTGCAAGGAGTTGATGGAGCGGTTTATTAGGGAGAAGCCGGAGGTGAGTGCTTGTGGTTTTACTTTAAGAAAGGATCTTCATACTGGCGTAGATTTGGTATGAAGATATTGGGGAGGAGACACCGAAATAAACTTATAAGATTACCACTCGTGCAAAAAGAAGCACATCTGTAACGCATGCGCATGTTACGAGACGTTTGCTACAGAGATGTGGAAGGCCGACGTGTGCGAGTTCTAGTTGGCACGTCTTTCATGCGATTATCTCTGGCAAGTCACTGGACAGAACGCTTGCATTTGAATAGGAGGTGAAAGAAAGCAGCATTATTCGGGTGACATGCTTCATTGTTCATATACAATAATTCTTACTACGCCGGTATACAAGCTTCCTTGGCTCAGCTGGTTAGAGCGCCGGTCTCATATAATGACCACTGTCCGAGTGGGGAATCCGGAGATCGCCAGTTCGATCCTGGCAGGGAGCATATGTTTTGCTGTTTTTCTTTGCAACTTGGAGGTTTATGCGATACTGCAAGTGCCAGGTAGCATCTCCTCCGTTTGCTGTCAAGTGGTTATTGATGAACGTAGCCGCGTCACATTGTCGTTGTTGAAGCGGAGGGCGTAACGTATTTCCGCCCGAAGAATCGTGACTAGTTTACGTCTGGTCATAATCCAACCTATCTTCAATGGCGCCTGAGGAATAGCTCGTTCTAATAATTCAGATGCCATGGTTCTCATGGAACAAAGAAATAGTAAAGGAAAGAAGGCACTGACACCCGTTTGTCATCGACTCATCTGGTATGATTCCTGACATGCAATGCTTGGCGCAGGTGCGAGTTTGGATTCGCGATGTGGATAGTACAGGCGCCGGCTATCTTTAGATTTACAGCATGCCATAGAGGCATGACCCACAACATCTACACAGCTACTTCCCGTATTGTAAGATTCCAGCCCCGCGCAGGTACACCACTAAGCTCTCACTACTGGACGTGCTAACAGTCTTGGGCTGCAGATCCACACATGCAAGTGACTCGAGAGCGGTGGAATGACAGTGTAGCGAAGCTGGAGGACCTGGCGTGGTGAGAGCATATCAAGCCGGAAACACAGTCCACAGCCATAGCAACTCTTCCGAATGAGAACTACAACCCAGTGCGAGCACGAATTCGGAATCTCCTGCGCCCGTACGAAGAGACTGGTCAAGCGCGGCTCCTTACGAGAGCGATCAAATGGGCAACGGACATACTCGCTGATGAAACCCTGGAGGTTTCAGAACGAGCCGATTGCTTGACACGTTTGGGAACGGCGTTCATGAAACGATACAATTATACTGGAAGTATTAACGACCTCAGGTCAGCTGTTCAGAGTTTTCGGGATGCGTTATCCTCTTCTTCGGACGACGCGGATATCGTATCATTGGCTGCAGCTAGCCTTCGACAGACCGCCGGGATGCTACTTGAGAAGACGGAAGACGAAGGCAGTCGGGAGGAATTGGCTCACTTAATCTCAGCGTACGAAGACACCGCCTCTAAACCTCGATGGCTGGAGGTAGACGTGGATCTGGACGCGAGTATCGATGCAATAGAGTTGGAAGTTCTGGATAAGGTAATCCAAGCGTATTACCCACGATATAGGACATTATCTGAACAGGAACAATCGTCGAGAACGGTGGAGATTCAAAGAGTCCTTGGGAGAACACTGTTAAACCGCTACTGGATGACGCATGTCCAAGACGATCTCCACACAGCAGGCTTCCACCTAACAGCTGTATCCGAGCGAGCGGAACTCGGTCCCATCAGAGGAAAAGCACTGTGCGACTTAGGCCGGATCTCCTGCATTCACTTTGAAGAAAACGGTGACCTGCGGGATGCCGAGATTTCTATCCGCCATCACGAAACTGCTGTGACGCTACTTCCAGATTTGAAAGAAGGATTAATCGCACACCACTACCTTTGTGAGGCATTGATAGCCCGATACAAACGCTTCGGTGATATATCTGATCTGAATACGGTCATTCGAAAGCTGGAGCCACTGCTACGCTCACCTAAAGTTGGAAGTGCACCAGCCAGTCATCGTGCTGTGGCGCACAGCTGTCTGGCTTCGGCATACCGACTACGACATCTTACCAATCGCAGCCCCGACGATTGCCAAGCCGCTATTGATTCATACCAGGCGGCCCTATACTTCGGCATCCGTCCTCACGTGCGAGCGTCCACAATATCCCTGTATGGTCTAACACTCCAGTCCCACCCTGAATACGAGATGGACAGCGTGAAGGGGGAGGATATGCGTGCCAATGCGACTTTGGCTCTACTCCAGGCGAATGAGATGACACCTGCTAGACATCGCGACAAACCGATGAGACTTGGGCATTACGGGAATGCGCTCCTAGGTCAGTTCAGAAAATCGGGTTGGCCAGAACAAGTGCATGTGGCCCTCCAAGCTCACCGAGATGCTCTGAGTGCAACGACCGAGTCAGATCCTCATAGAATCACACACCTGCGTAATCTCGGTTTGACTCTCGTCCATTCCTCCACAGCACTGTCCGCCCCAGATAACGTTCGAGAGGGTATCGGTTTGTTATGGCAGGCAGCACAGATGACAAATGCACCCGTTCGGGATCGTGTGGAAGCTGCCCTGACACTTGGGCACTGTCCGGCGGGAGCTTCCTATATCAATCAGCGCTACGAGGCATTCAGATTAGCAGTCACACTGCTTCCTGCGCTTGTTTGGATTGGTGCAGACCGTTTGTCGCAGCAACATGTCCTTAGGGACCCATCCGTGCTCGGTTTACCTTCCGATGCTGCAAGAGCTGGGATAGACTCAGGCAACCTGAACGGGGCGCTGGAATTACTCGAAAATGGTAGATCGATCCTCTGGACCCAGATGTTCCACCTCCGAACACCCGTAGCTGACCTGGTAGAGCTGAACCCGGAACTAGCTGCTGACATCCAGCAAGTCGGAAAATCTCTTGAGTACTCCAGTACTAAACTACAAAATGAGCGACCACATCTTCGACGCCATCTTGCAGTACGATGGGAGACCTTGATCCAACAAGTGAGGCAATTACCGGGTTTCGACCGCTTCCTCTTGCCAAAAACCGTCACAGATCTCGCAAATTCGGTCGATGGCGGATCTTGCGTGATATTCACTGCAGCCAAGGATCAGTGCGATGCACTGATATTTGATCAAGGTCAGGTCAAACACGTCCCTTTGTCAAAGTTCAACAGAGAAAAGATCGAGTCCCTCGCCATACGCACCAACGATGTCGTGTTATCGAGCACTTCAAGAAGACGTCATCTAGGCCACAAGGGCGCAGGAAACCCTGTCAACGGAGAAAAAATATTTCTCAATATTCTTGCACAGATATGGGAAGATAGGATTTTACCGGTACTTGCTGTTCTTGACATTAAGGTATGTAGCTATCACTATCACCCGGTGAATAATTAGTTTGTTGATGAATCACCGGTTTATAGAGCTCTGCGGATGCCTTAAACCCGCGATTGTGGCTCTGCCCTACTGGTCCTTTCAGCCGACTACCAATGCATGCTGCGGGACTGTATACGAAGGGGAAGGCTGACTGTTTATCCGATCGCTTTATAGTCTCGTATACGCCAACCCTGTCTGCACTGCTCAATGCGCGTCGTTCGCGCCCGGATTATTGTGGGGACGTAAAGCTGCTAGCCGTAGGACAGGCTAGTCCCAGTTGCCGGGAAAAAGTAGATTATCTCGAAGGAGTGGCCAAAGAACTCAAGAGCATACAGAAAATATGCTCTGCTGATGCATTCAGCGCCATCCAAGGTTCATCAGCGACGCACGACGCTGTTCTGGATAGGTTTCATACCGCCAGCTGGTTCCACGTAGCCTCTCATGGCGTGCAGGACCCCGTTCGGCCACTGAATAGCGGTCTACTACTAGCAGATAGGCGACTGAATTTATCCACTCTGTTGCGTACACGCCTCGACAATGGGCAATTCGCGTTTCTGTCTGCTTGTGAGACAGCCATGGGCGACGAGACGCTGACAGATGAGTCCATGCACCTGGCAGCCGGATTCTTGCATGCGGGCGTGTCTAGTGTCGTCGCGACCATGTGGTCCATCCGCGACGAAGACGGGCCAGTAATAGCTGAGAAGTTCTATAGGTACATGTTCCGCGATACGCAACACCTTTCACATACAGACTCTGCATACGCCCTAAACGAGGCGGTTCGATTTCTTCGTCTAAGCCGGGTTTTGCCCATTCGGTGGGCTGCCTTTATTCATGTAGGTGCTTAAGCATCTTGATGTCGACTGAATACCAGAGTGAACTAGAAATGACGAAGATTCTGACTCGAGAGAAGAATAAGCTCAGCTGGAGGAGTGCGAGGCTATGCCAGCCCCTTCGTTGCTATAGTTCTGAGTTCTCACGTTTAGTACTGTAGGTGTTTCAGGTCTCTTTAGTAGGGCCCTTCGTCTCGACATCGACATTATTCCATCGTCTATATACATCTACTTCTGACCGTGATACAAGTACACCCATCTTCTACATGACTCGATGAATATCTGCTTTCTCTCCTCTCTTTCATCGTTAGCATTTCTCGAGTATCAAATGCCGATCGCAATCTATGTATGCGTGTTCCTGTTTCAAAGGCAGTGCTGATAATAACGATCTATGCGTTCTTCAATGTAGAGGGCATTAATGTCGTTCTAGACACGACTAGCAAGCCAAATCGACAACTTCAAGAACAGATGCTTTACTGCCGAGATGCAGCGCATTAGGACCAAGCCGAGTTACGAGTCCTGAGTTTACGAAGGAACGAGTCTTTACGCCGAGAATGAGCGGGTTGCCGAACAGGAGCATGATGGCCGAGAAGTCGTGGGATTATTCTTATGTAGTGGCCACTACACTATTGGATGTCCGCTTCAAAGTCCGCTTGTAGTGTCGACTACAAAAAGACTACAAAAAGAGTTTTGTAGTGCCTCTGGTCAGTTTTCAGCCTGCTCCTCAATTAAAGTGGCTCCTTTCTCTCTGATTTTTCTAATATAAGCTTCTGATACCTGCTCACATCACTTGGAATATTTTCCTTATTTTAGGTGCTGTCCTCCTGTTCCAATATATTTTACAGCGATGTGGTCCTTTTGACCGTGGGAATTGACTACATGAAGGATTTGAAGTCGGTGGCGCGGATGGGATTCCGCGTCGATTTGCATTGGAGCAATCTGATTGGTCAATGGCCCTTCATTACTTATATGACTTCAAGTAAGAGATAGTCCCAGCTTGTA